CAATCAATCAATCAATCAATCAATCAATCAATCAATCAATCAATCAATCAATCAAATGACCCAAGAACATAAAATCAAGTTAATGGGTCAAAGCAGAGAGAGAAGCTTTTGGATTGTGGTCTTATTTAATGTAAGGCTTAGATGGCAGCTTCTGTCATGGAGTTTAATGCTCCAAAATCTTTGATCTATTTTGTGTCCTCTTCAGACTAAATAAAAACCTATTGTATCGTCACACACGACATCCGAATATTTTCTAATTCAGACCTACCTCTACCCTTTGCGACACAGAGAAATATAAGACAGAAAATTAATAACAAATGTAATGGTTGCTATGATAACCTACAGAAAGGTCCAAGTCCAGGTCACTGTTCGGTTCCCTCCAGTCGTCCCTAGAGCCCTAACAAATAAACAAAGGTTATCACAGCCTGTGCTTTTACTATATAAATATAAACAGATTGTAAAAGATTATTTGTGTTTTCTCTTCATGATTCACTAATAAAAAGCAGGAACCTTGGTAGGGTCGGAGCTGAAGACGTCCTCTAAGGTCTGCTGTGCTTCGATGGGGTTCCATTGTCCGCTGGTCCTTTGAGCTGTAAGAACCTGGTGTTCCTCTGTGAGAGAGAAAGAACAGCAGGAACCAGAGGCGGTTCTTGTATGAACGGTATCTGGAGGGAAAGCATAGCTTACCCAGCGCTAATCTTTTCGGTTGTTGTTTCCAAAAATGGGGAAAGAAAGTTTCTTAAATATCAAAGTGTTTTAAACATCTGCGTACAGTGATCCAGAAAAGCTCCAGATAAAAACAATAGAAATAATCATTTAATTTTTATTTGCTCTCACACTTCTTACTGATTTTCCCCTAAAACATGCCACCCTGGGCAGAAGCCATAACACCATATCAGAAAGTTCCTCCTAAGAAATGTTGACCATTTAATTTCCCTTCAAATGTTTGTGTTCTTCTACTGATTAGAATTAATATGAAGCTGATAAGCATTTTAATTAAACATACAGCTAGTAAAAATATTCAGCTATTAGGCCATAACTGCAACATATATGAGTCTATAGTGAGTCTCATCATAGGCGGTTCTAGACAGGGGCCAACAGGGGCCTGCGACTCTGTAGAACTGGTCCTGGCCCCTATTTTGGCCCCTGTACTAAGAACATACACTACAAAACTTCAAATATAATCCAAATTTTCTTTTTTATATATAGTTTCCCTTGAATTGAGCAGAAAAGCGGTCCATTTGCCAAAGGCTGATTTACTCTATATTAATAATCCTTGGGTTGCACGGGGATTCACTTTGTTGCACTGTTGTCGTGCAGAATGAAGGTTCTTGGTTCAATCCCCGGGCCAGGATCTTTCTGCATGGAGATTGCATGTTCTCCCTGTGCATGTGTGGGTTCTCTCCAGGTACTCCAGCTTCCCCCCACAGTCCAAATATAAGACTTTTAGGTTAATTGGCTTCTCTAAATTGTCCTTAAGTGTCAGTGTGTGCGTGCCTGGTTGTGTGTCTCTGTGTTCCTTTTTGACGGACTGGCGTCCTGTCCAGGATGTACCCCTGCCAGGTACTGGCCCCACCACGCCCCTGATGGTAGACGATGTATAGATGGAAATAATCCTTATTGAATATGTTTTATTGACAGCTCTGAGCGCCTCTGGCAGTACAGTTACAGTTTCACTGTCACTATAATTGCCATTGTCAGATCCCAGCATCATGACGCCACTAGTTTGTCTGCTCTGGGCTGCCGTAGCACAAAAATGTTTGCTTCCATAAATGAGAGACGACCTCCTATGTGATCCGAAAAAGAAATTTTATGAGGCAAAGGAAAACAGCTTAAGATTTTCATTCCATAGAGAATAAAAAATAACATACTTAAGTATAATATTATATTAAATGTATGTCAGTAAATCCCTGTAATTATTACACACTGTAGCTTTAAAATAAGAAAATTATACTATCTTAATTGAAGTGCATCATATCTTATCATTCCTCTGCCTGATTATCTTATTTACCTTCTTGAAATAATTATTAATGGCAAATATACTTATTTCATTCTGTTTTTAGATTAATTTTTGCAGTAAATCAGTTTCTCTCTTCGTTCAATTTAATATTCACCTCAAAAATTCCCCTTGATAATTAATTAGAAACAAGTCAGCTTTAAGCTCCAGCCATATTATCATAGGATCACGATTTTCATCTGTTAGATCAGGGCTCTGTAACCTTGGAGATGCGGCTCACCTAAAATGCTAAACAATTTGCTCTTGCTGTATTTTATATATTTATTGTGTGTTTGTTACTCATATTTCTTTGACAATATTAAAAACAATGCTCCTTCCGGTACATTTCATCATAACTGCCGCTGACTCCTGCATTTTCACCAGAATTTATATGACAGACCAACATTAACACTTATATATAGTGATTAAAAATAGGAACCATTTCTAAATAAACTTTTAAATCTAAACAGCACGTAGCAAACGTACAAATAACAGCAGATTTATAGAGATCTTTGTGGTCTTTCACAGGAAGATTTAAAATCGACTGAGCTGCTCTATTTAGACTCTAAATTAACCTAAAAGATCTAAATTAACAGGAATGTAGAAACATTTGTACGTAACTGCTTCTCTTGAGTGTTTTAAGTATAGTGGGACCTTTTCGTTGTAGTTTTTGTGTGCATTTTTTTTCTTGAATTGTAAATATTTGTTTATGTGTTTTGATCGATAGCTGATTGAAACTAAGACGTAACTAAAGTGCAGACGATCTTGTCCAGAATGCTCTTGTAACAGATTATTAATCTCTATGAGATTATTAATGGTTAAATGAAGGTTTAATGAAGATAGGATGGAGAGTTATTTAGAGGGATTTCCACTGTAAATCAGCTCTTCTAAAGCATGGCAGTGGAGGTCTGAGGATTTGGGCTTGTAGTTTGCAGACCTAAGAAGTATGCTGTGATAGAGATGACAAAATAAACCATCATCATCAGCAGGAAAATGATAGAGATGAATGCGGCTGAGAACATGGAGAACAGCTGTTTGCTTTCAGCGTTAAAAATAATGGAGGTATTGGTGATTTTTCAGCATCGTAAAGTTGTCCAGAAGATGTATTGCTAATGTGTTGGTGAAATGTTGTTTAGTTTGATAAGAGTCACTCTTTTCTTATACCTCAGTAATGACAGTGTGTGTTTAGCTCTTTAACCTGGTCTCTACACCTGGGCGTAAACTCTGATCACTGACCTTCTGGCTCTCTGGGCGTCTGATCCTCTGATGCCTGCGGCCCATTCAGCAGCATGTTGTCTCTTGTCCTACAAAGCCCAGATTTAGCCTTTAGACACATAAGAATACTAAGAATTCAACCATTAAAACTGTATTCCTTACTGAGTCATTCTGCAGGTCTGGTAGAACGTCCCCATCGGAGGACAAATGCACCAGCTGGGACAATATTCACTTGTGGAGGGTAATCGGTAAGGAGTTAAATATTCTCCATGCCAGAGCTGTGGGATCGGGACCAGCATGCAGGGGCCCGAACTCAACCAAAACTGAGGTGTGGGCTGCGGGAAATTTATCATGGGTAAGTCTCCAGGAACTCTGCAAGCAAAATGGGTTGGAGGGATATTATCTAAGAACCCATTATAAGAAGGTGCGGCAATTTGGAAGGGCCGTGGAAAGGAATAAATGGCAGGAAGAGGAGAATTCTGGATTTCTGCGTTCCACATCGGGTCCTGGAGGGGCGTCATCGGGTTGGGGAAGGAGTTACGTGTCCCTGTTGTGTTGATTTGAAGGCAACTAACTCTTCTTGTTAGTGTCCCTGCGTCTGAAGATGCCCTCCTGTGTTGAACCTCATAGGAACCAATCAGCTGCTCTTCAACGACCCAATGGCTCATCTGAGCAGCAGGTTCCAACGCTGGGTGGAGATCTTCCATCTGCTGGAGATGAAGCCTGTCTGTTGAATCCAGGGTGAACGGAGAGGAGGCCTCAGCTTCAGGCTGGGAACATGGACCTCCGTCATCCATGATGAGTGGAGGCACTGGCTCCATTGCTAAGCCCTTTCTGAAAACAGGTGGAAAAAAGTTTAAATTCCAGCATCCATCCATCCATTTTCTGTCATGCTTATCCCAAGTGGGGTCACAAGGGGTGCTAGTGCCAATTTTCCAGCTGTCTAGGGGCAAGACAGGGCACCAGTCCATCGCAGGGCAACACAGAGACACACAGGACAACAACAACCCTTCACGCACACACTCACACCTAAGGACAATTTAGAGAAGCCAATTAACCTAAAAATGTTTTTGGACTGTGGGAGGAAGCTGGGGTACCCTGAGAAAACTCACACATGCACAGGGAGACATGCAAACTCGATACAGAAAGACCCCTAGGCTGGGAATCAAACCTGGAACCTTCTTGCTGCAAGGCAGCAGTGCTACCCACTGAGCAGCAATTCCAGCAACTGAATAGAAATTCAAACTAACTTTGTTTCTAAGCATCATACAATATTACAGCTTCCTCTGTGTTGTAGGAGTTATCCTCTTATCTGACAACATACACCGACATTTAAGAGAAGAAAACAAAATAGGCAACAGCTTTCACCCATGGCACCCATGCACATATAAAAAAGTATTCAGACCCAGATATAAATGTCGTGTTACAAGCATGTTCTGTATTTTTAGAAGGTGTTGGCAGAAAGAAACCTTTACAACATATATTATCTGACTTTTAAACACAGTACTTAAAGCTTTCTTCCAAACACAAACAAAACATGGAGTTTCTCCTCAAATTCATATTATTTGTTTAAATTATTTCATACTTCCAGTAAAATCCTCCATTCCTTGCAGAGAAATACTATGTGTTTCTTAAAACTTGTACATAGACAGCTAAGCAGATATTGTAAACCATTTTTGATTAATCTGTTTCCGCTGGCTTACCTTTTGCGCTTGGGAATAAAACCTCTTTAGACGACTCTGGATTCAACACTGTACTCCTTGGTCCTGCAGTCAAAGTCAAAAGTAAACAATTTTAGTTTGTTTTGACTCTTAGACTTTAAGCATTCCATCAACAGCTTCTCTAAAATTCAAGCTGAAAAACATTTATTTTTTATTTTTTTTTAATAATTATTACTACCCCCCCTCCCTTTTCATTTTATTCCATTTCCATTACATTGTTGTTTATTTTCATGACTACTTCATGACTGCTGTATTTGATTATAAAATTTTAAGTTATTTTACGGAAAATATATTTTTCTAAAAATAGTATTGTTATAAATCACTCTATGAAAAAGAATAGTAAAGTATCTTGAAGCACGTTTAAGTTAGATCATTTGAAATTGAAGATTTGAACATTTTACTGCTGTACACCATTTCCCAGGATGCTTTGCGGCCAACCCGGAAATCCGCCCTCTCACGCAGGTCTGAAGACGCACGTGGGATTCAGAACTAAAAGAAGCGATTTCACTGAAAGACATTGGATTTTTCATACATTTAAAGTCTACTCGGCTTTATTTGAAGCAACAAAGCCTAAAAAAAACAAACGCTCGTCAAAATGTTTCTGCAATATTATGAAAATGAGAACGGAGACAGAGTCTACACTCTGAAGGTAAGCCTAGCTTCGTGTTTACAGGCTAACTCATTAGCATCTTGCTCTGGTTCACTACTTATTCCGCTTTAAACTCTTAGATGATACATTTCAAGGCACGTAAAAGGGATTTATTTGAATAATATTATTGAAACAACAACAGAGCTGGAGATGCTGGGTGATATCGTGTATCAGACATGCAGCTCGCTTATCTTATCGTTAATTTGTTGTTTTTGTCTTTACTTTTATACTCTTTGCTTTGCACGAAAACTGGTCCAGGTAAAAATCCGAACCAGGATTTGTTGTCGTGCATTTCTTTTTTGTTTTCTTTTGTTTACTATTATAGGTGTTTATATCATTTTATTGGAGGTTTGCATTAAAAGATCAACTATAAGTAAGATAAAAATGTAAAAGTCTTGACAACATTTAAGCATCAATAAATACATCGTTTTATAATTTAATTACTTATTAGATTATATGATTTCTGATATTTCAGTTTAAACCATAGTCCACGAATACAGCTTTTCTTACTGACTGGATTTTTGTAGTTTTATGTGCGTTTATTTATTTTTTTTTAAGCAAATATATTAAAAATGTTGGAATGAGTTTTATAAGCGTCGTATAATACTCCTCATAACTCTGTATAATATTATTAAAATACCATTTCAACAGAAAACTAAATGTATTGTGATAAAAGTTTCCGCCATGTTGTTCTGCCCTCCATGCAACAGATGAATAGTTAAAATGCCACAGATGCATCTATTAAAAGCAGCCCAAACTATTTCCCATTGCATTCAGTCTGGGCTTTGACTAGGCCATTCTCAAAACTCATATCTTCTTTGATCTATTTTTTTTCTCCAGCTCTTTTTTTCCCCCAGTAGTGAGGATTGTTGCAGCTTTTATCAGTTATTGTAGTCCTGAAAATCATTCTGTGGTATAATGCTGTTTTACCACCTTTCCTACCTATCAATACTTATAGTATCGATGCATCGATCAAAACGGCCGGTGATCCGAAGCATCCACAAGAGAATCGATTCAGGTTTTTTTTTTTTCCTCCAGTCTATTTTTATCCATTTGCTCCTGGACGTAATTCTTACTCCTGCTCTGCGGTGGCGCTAAAGTTATTTTGCCCTCCTACCTCGCTTCCTTTAGCCACCGCCCTCTTTCGGCATTATTATTCTTCATTGAACAAGGTTTTCATAGGCATTGCTACTTCTGTTATTTGCTGTTGTTTCTTAAATAAAATGCATAACGATATTACAGCTTTCATTGATTTATCTCAAATTTGAATCACTGTCTAGCCTGTAAAGTAAAAAAAAAAATTAACAAATTAATCGAATTGAATCGTATCGTGGTGTATTCTCAAGTATCAAAAATAATCGAATCATTGGGTCAGGAAATTGATACTGAATCGAATCGCCATGATGGGTGTGATTTACACTCCTAGTTACGCATGAAAAACTTAGAGTTGAGATTCATATCATTTTGCATTGCTCTCATTTATGGCAAACATGTTCCTTTATGCTTCTTCCAGATTCTGGTTTGCACATGTAATAGTTGTCATGGCAACAGATTGTCCAGCCTTGCTCTCTGTTGTTTTATCATGTTAACTCCATATACACTGGGTTCTTACAAGAGATGGAAAACTTCAAAAAGCATTGACAAATATTTTCATTTACATTTATTGACAAATAATTTCGTGACAAAGAAAAATAACTTGACAATTGATCAAAGACTCCTGATCCCTTTGAGTTAACTCTTAAGTAAACTAATTAAAGTTTTAGTATCTGTGTCTTGAGTCATACTTAGGCTAAGTTTAATATTTGGATTTTTAACAAATTAATTTGTTTTCAAGGTCTTAAACATTGCTTCCTTAATGATGTTTTTTCACAGACGTCCTTTAATGTCCCGTTTGTTTTTTTCTCCCATCTTCCACCAACAGAAGGTGACACCCGATGGGCAGCCCACCAGCTCGGCCCACCCGGCTCGCTTCTCTCCCGACGACAAGTTCTCCCGGCACCGCGTGCAGCTGAAGAAACGTTTTGGCATCCTGCTCACGCAGCAGCCACGGCCCGTCCTGTGAAGGAGCCTCTACAGAGGATTAGATGATGGATCTGAGAGAAAAACAACAGAAAAGACTGTCTGAGATGGATCAGCTGTAACATGGATTGTTGGAATGGAATGTTTTGCTTTTACGTATGATTATGTTGGTTTATGTTTTGAATAAAATGTGCAAATTATTTCCTCTTGGTTGTCTTTGTGTTTGATGCCCCAACTAGAGATGGAAGATTTCATTATTCTGCTGAATCATACATTTAACAATGAAATGTTAGTACCTCAAAAATGGAAGATTTCTCTTTTCAGAAATAAAATACACTCCAGATATAACTTTATTTTATAGTAACTGAGAAAATCAGCTGTCATTGATTAGCCTTAATCATATTTAGTCAAACTTTTTTTTTGAGCAACAGACTAAAATAAATCCAACTAAAAATCAGAAGTTTATTAAAATTTGCCAGTAGTTGTGTATTTATCTCCAGGAATATAAAGATAGCCTCTCACCATTCGAAGAAATATCTTTTAATGAAGATATTTTGGGGCTTTACATGTCAAAGAGTACTTTTTTTTTTTTTTATTCCATTTAAATTTTTAACTGAAAGATGCTGTGAACAATGCTGCCATTCAGTTTCTGCAATCTCAAGTTTACAAAGAATTTTTTTAAGCTGAGGAGTATAAAACCAAATGCTGCCTCACCTTTACATGGTTCAAACTCCCCATAAAACTATTCTTCAGCCTAGTACTGAGATTGATGATTAGCAGAATTATAAAATTCTCTGAAAAACTGAACCAATGCAGAGTGATCCAAAGAACTGGTTCTGGTATGATCCATCTTGCTTGTGCTGGTAAAAGTCTGGCAGCTAGTAGAATTTTATTATTTGAAAAAATGGAAATTGAATAATGATGTCAAAATTAGACTAAGACTCAACTTTGTTTATCCTTTGGGGAAATTCTGGTTCCAGTAGCTTATATAGAGTACAAATAGTTAAAGTAAGATGCCATTAAAAATACAACAGACAATACAAAGAGAGTGTATATAGTATTGAAAATTAGTGATGTCCTGGATTCTTTAGATATACAAATATCTGAACAGCAAAGACCTAAGGGAAGACTACACACTAGTTTACTTAGGCTATTGCACTTCCATTGCAGAGATATACTGAATTTATAAAATAAGTAAACATTACTTAATATTTACAAAATAATGGATGACTGGAAGAAAGAGTGATTTATGGTATTTCATTACTGTTAATTGGTCTTGCAGTCATTTGTTAGACAGTCAATGGGTCCAGAGTTCACGTTTTAAAAGTCACCTTTTCTTTATTAAAATGTTAAAAGCATAGCAATAGTTTTGGTACTAAATCTCTCTGAATGTTCTGTAAACACATTACGGGAGTAAATAAAATATTTTTATATGGAAAACTATTTCCTTTAAAGCGGTCTAACAAACTTTAGAGGATTAGGGCCATTGAAGAAATAAAGAAGTTAACTGATTTTTCAATTTTAGTTCAGTATAATATGAGAAAAATGTAAGAATTCTGACTTCAATCTCATAATTGTGACTTCAATCTCAGAATTCTGACTTTTTTTCTCTGAATTTTGACTTTAATCTCAGAATTCTCACCCTTTTTTTTCCAGAATTATGACTTTTTTTCTTAGAATTCTGCAATAGCTTGGTGCTAACATGTCTTAGCTGTCAGAATTCTAAGAAAAAAGTCTTAATTATGTGAAAAAAAGTCAGAATTCTGAGATTAAAGTCAAAATTCTGACTTTTTTCCTCATATTAAAGTGAAATTATATGTATAAGAGGCACTATGGCACAAAAACAAACTGGTAGAATCTAAATGACTGCATTACCCATACTTCTTTGCGGTGGGGTCTTAACGACGCATGCGCAAGGTAGATGGAACGACGGCAAGGAAGTTGGGACCTAGGTGCCGCAGTCGCGTGCTGTTTTTTTTTGGTGGGTCGTTAGGAATAAATGTGCGGAGAAACCCCCGGCAGAGGTGCTGCTTACGGATAAAGATGGAAACGGTCACGTCTTGTAATGGAAACCAGAGGCTGGTATGTGTTCACAGTGGCGGGGGCAAACAGGGACTAATTTGAGCGGGGAAATTGTCGCTGTTGGAGAGCTATGAGGAGGTCCGGAGAGTTGACAGGTTGTCTGCGGCGGGGCTATGCTAGTCTCACCGACTGAACCCTCCAGCCGTTACCGCTGCTACCCTGAGCCGAAACACCTGCTTATTGAAGTAATGAAACAAAACTTCATGATAAAATACATTTACACAGCGGCTCTGCTTGAAATTAAAAGCGGTACTCTATAATTAATTAAATTGTTTTAGGGATTTTTTTGTGTGTGTCGGCTTTATTGCGGTAAAACTCGCCGCTCAAATCACCGCTTCTCCTGTGGAGCTGATGTGACCGCAGATATCCAGCCCGGATCCGCTGCTTATGGCTGCTTTATAACCGGTTCTGCTGAAAGGAGACCGGTTCAAGCCAGAATTATTATAGCTAGCTTAATTGGCTTAAAATGGGAGATGTGTGGCGCGAGCATCACCATAGGAACCAATGTAACAGCATTAATCTATATATACCTATATATTTGTTAGTTTTAGGAGGTTTAGTGTATTATACCTGCACCTGCGTTGCTTAATGTAGACCCAATCGACTTTACCGTAATAAGCTTAACAGCTGGAGGACACGTGAAATGCACAATTTGGCTGAAATGCAGAGTTAAAGGGAATCTGTCCGGATTCAGGTGCTTTTTTTCACGATTTTCTGCATCAGAGGCCTAAAGGGATTTGACAGCCAGCTGGGGAACAATACAGCACCCATTTATTAGAAGTCTTGACAGTTTGACTGCAGCACAGATAGGGCCTAAAGAAGCACACCTAGTAGTGCAGGAAAAGTGGTATTTATGTATGAAAATGTGGTATTAATGATAGGTTAAAAAACGAGAACAAAATGTCTTGAATCATCCTGCTCAGCTGTCAGTACAGATTAGACCTCAGGCTTCTTGTTGTTGGGAGGCTTTGGTTCAAGAGGAAGTGTAGTCAGTCAGAAATGAGGGAGCTGATGGTTTATTGTCCTCCACCCTCCCAGCTCTGTACTAGGTAGGAAGGGCAGTCTGAAAGCCACATTCATCCTGATGTTTCACCCCTTAGAGATTAGTGGTGAAGTTCTAATCTGTCGATTTGTGATGAAATCCACTGTAAATCCATTATAACATAATAATTATAATCCTTCTTTAGAAATTAGCAGGCCTCTTTCTCTACAGAAACAAGATCCTTACTTTAAATTAGAAAATTTCCAAAAATGCTAATAAAAAAAGAAAGAAATGGAGTACTTTTGTTTAGCCTTCCCAGTGTTTTCTACTAGTAGCTTTAGGTTCACACCATTCCCAAGTCAGAAGACCATCCCTAAGGCGTGGATAAATTGACGTGTCTCTACCCAGGATAAGTGGGCAATAAAATAAGCAAACTTCTAAAGTATGAAAAGCCAAACCGAGCAGCAGTTATTAAAACCCAGCTCTCTGTTACATTAGTTTGAATCAGGCCTCCATAACAGAATGACCGTTAGATGGACCAGCAGATTTTTGGTTGATATCAGCCTGTTTTTGTTCTTGTGTCGGTTGATACGTGCACAAGTTCGCAGAATCATTAGTGCAGAGACCTGCAACCGTTAAAATCCAAAGAGCATTTTGCCCCAAATCCTGCATAATCAAAGTAATTTAGAGCCATAAATGTTGCATGATTAATGATACTGCCACCTGTGGCCAAAACACAGAACTGCAGCCCTCTCTGCTCATGTTCGTTCTTATTGTTTTTTTTTTTTTCACCTTACATGGAGTTGTTAGTAGTTTTTGACATGGGCTTGATGTCAGTCACTTCTGAATGTCCAGATAACCCATACTGAATATGGATGTCACTACCCGATCCATACAGGTAGCTCATTGCGCATGTGCAGCCAGATATACATCCGGGTCGCCCTCGATTTTACTTAAAATAGACGTAAATTAAGTTTTTCCCTCCTTTAAAAATAGTAAGCACACTAAACTATAATGTTTTAAATGTTGATAATGTATTTCCTGAGATAATAAATGCATTAAAATCCTTTCTGTTTTATCACCCAATTTCTACCACAAATGGAATCCTATGCTACTTCTGGGAGCTAACTTTTTCGGCATTGGTTTTAAACATACATCTAGTCTTTTCAAGCTTTATTTTTTCATTTCTTATTAAACCTATGGCACGTCGTGCGTAACCTAAAGAAAGAAACAACCAAAATGCAGATAAACATGGTTTCATCATATTTTGCCGGGCTGCTCTGAGCATGTCCGATGATGATGTAAGACAAGCAGTTTGATAGGGAAAATGTAAAAAGCATCAAATCGTCTCAGAAAAGTCATATTTGTTTTATTTTTAAGATGTGTATTAGCATTTTTTTAATTTAAGGACTTTTAGTTCCGAAATTACATTATGTATGGCGACCCTGATGAATATCAGCTTGCACGTGCTCAAATGAGCTAATGGTATGGATCGTGGTTCTGGGACGCATGAGGTGGTGACAACGCGTCCATTGTTTACCAGGTCGGACCCATTGACCATGGATGCGCTTGATGTCACATCCACCAAACAGCGCAGGAACTTCTGACCCGAAGTAAATTCAGGAAAACCGGCTTAGAAGATGCAACAGTGCTGAACCACTGAGGTGTCAGACAGCTCATCAGACGATGATTTAGTCAGAAATGGTCTAATAGAAAGGATATTTT